TAAATCGTGGTACGGCATTTATATATATAAATCCGGGATTTATATGGTGACGGGATTTATATACGACATATATATATGAAATGTTAAAGAAAGAAGCATCATGGCCAATTGCACCGGGTAAGTTTCATACTATAAACTCATCTTTTACAGAAAAATGGAGTAAATTTCCATATGGAATATATAAAGCAACAATAGAAGGAAATCCACCAAAGAAAAGTCTTCAATGCACGAGATATTTGTGTTATAATCCACATGGGATTTACACACATTATGATTTAGAATGCGCACGAAAAAATGGATTGAAAGTAACATTGATGAATATATCACCAAATGTGCTTATTTACGAAAGAAATGTACGTATAACAGGAAAAGACATGTTTGGTGAATGGGGTAAAATGTTATATAACATTAAGAAAGAAGGAGGAACAGCTGGAAAAGTAAGTAAAGCATTATTAGTTTCATTATGGGGTGTCTTATGTGAGCAAAGAAATGGGCAAAATTATGGTACACACCCACGAATAAAACCATTCTTATTAGCGTCAGCACGAAAAAGAATATCAGAAATTGTGAAACCACTAGGAGATCAAGTAAAACGTATACATACAGATGGCTTTATTGTAGCTGGAAAAGTCGAACTTAAAACGGGAATAGAAATGGGTGAGCTAAAATTCGAGAAAAAAGGAGTTTGTGTAGTAAAAAATTGTATATCAATTACATGGAAACCGTCATATCCAGAAATTCCAAATTTGATCACAAATATTTTACCAGATTTTGAGAAAATACAAAAAGATAAAGAGCAGAATATAAAGTTAGATACAGAGTATCCTGCTTCACAGACAGAAAAAAGGAAACTATCAAAAAAGTCCGATATAAATCTTCCGAATGAAATTATAATAGAAATATTTCAACATTTGCGAACACAAAATGATAGATTAGACACAGAGTGTCCTGCTTCACAGTGTGGTAATAACGAATTATTGTTTCCAGTTTTATATGTTAACAAACGATGGAATGAATGCGCAACATATTTAATATGGAGAAGAATTAC